TATCTATGATGTTAGTATGGAATATTTTGGCTGACCCTCATCTTTGACCACCTGCCTGGTTGTCTCAGACAATAACTCTTAATACTGAAACAATCGGCCCCCATCCTTCAGCTTTTTCAGATTTTGCTCGGTTTTCTCAGACAGTGACTCTTAAATTAAATGTAATTGTCGATTACACTAGAAAGTTTATCTGAAGAAAAAAAACAGGAATATTATCAGATGTATTTCTCTTTTCTCTCTCCTATTTACCAGAATATATAATAGAAAATTCTCTGTAGCATTTGTTTTTTCGCACTATTATAATTCTCCGTAAATAACTACGTAGCCTTTCCGTGGCCTCTCCACAGATGGCTTTTCAAATGTTGTAGATGGCACACAACCATCCCGTTCCATTTTGTTTCTCAAAGAGTTGTCCTGTTCTTTTAAGTGGAAAATTGCCACCGGTTTTCACGCAAATTGGAGGGCTCCTTAATTCAAATTACTTCTGCCCAAGCAGTGAATCTGAAACGCATAGGAAATCCTATGGGAGTACAGTAATTACATATTTACCTGGTTGTCACTAGATTCAGCTCTTTCTCTTTATCTGCTAGGAGAGCCTCGTACTTTTCTTTAAGTTGAGCGCAGCTGTAAAAATAATCAGTTGAAAACACAAAAACGTGAATAGACATAAAATTAGTTCCATTCTTTCTTAATAATTGCAACGTCTTGCTATAATTATTTTCTTCTTAATGTTTTCCATGGTAAAAGTTATAAAGTTATAGACAAGCGCACGCGCTTTCAGCGACCCTCTAAATGCTTGTGATCCCTGTTGCTTACAACATCCCTTTGACGGTTAAGTTTCCTCGTTTGCATCATATCATGTAATACAAGAAAAGTTTATATGTGGCAACTTTGAGGATTTTTTGTTGTTTCGGCCCGAAATTGTCTCGCATGCACGTCGTAATGTAAATGAGCAAAGAGCTATTAGAATTTTATTTAATCTTTTATTTAATGCAACTTTACCTTGTAACCCACTCTTTCAGTTGCTCGTCTTTGGTATCAATTTTTCGAATTTGGTCGTTATGCCTGAAAGTTAAATTGAAAGAAACAAAATTATAATTGAAGGTATAGCTTACTTCCATTATCTTAATAAATAAAAAATAAGGCAGTGTTGATCAGGATTCACGTGAAATTACTCGACCAACCATACGTCGTCTCACCAGGAGCAACTGGGGACACATTTGTCGTTGCTCATTGTGATTATAGCATCGTTTCCTGCCGTTTTCTGCGCTCACCAATAAAATCAAACGAATCTTTTCTATTGGTTACTAGTGTATTATAAAAGCTAGTCATTTTCTATGAAAACCTGTCCATGAATTCGAAAATCATGCTATATTGAAAAACTGTGCTTAGCTCGTATTGGAAAAGGTATATTTTATTAGTATATACCAGAAGAGTTGTTAACAACACGCGCTTGACAGATAATTTTTTGGTTGCTTGTTGAAAAACAGGGATCAGTATCGTGGATCCAAACAAGCCACCATATTAACGTGCTAGAGCTTTATTTGGATCCTAAGTGTGTATGATTATATTTTCTTGTAAATATATCATCTCATGTGCAGGAGATTAAAGCCGGGTGTGAAGGGTATGTAGCGGCGCTCTGACCTGGATAAAAGAGCAACACGCAAGAAGACACGCGGGTTCGAAACGCAGTGTACTAGTCACCGTTCCGATAAACAATTCCTGAACATCGGCTGATTGAACGTCAGACCCGTCTCCACCGATGGCGCCTTGATCACTCGGATTGACTGCGCGTACACGGAGGACACATTTTATAGGACACATTTTGGCGAAGTGATATTTTCCTTTACATACGAGGCAAAGCCGTCCAAAAGCAGGACAAGATTTTGGAAGATATTTATTCCCACAATTCAAACAGTGGAATAGTTGTTTAGAGTGCGGCGGCTTTGGACGCCTTTGATTGAATTTGCCTTGGATCAAATGAAAGAGATCTTTGTCGCAATCCTCCGATTCTTGTATTTGAGTTGAGCTTGCTTCGCTCGCTCTGCAAATGGTTGCTGCATTTTCCAGTGTGAGGTCTGCTGATTCACGGAGCAGTCCTTCTTTCGGTCGCGTACATGTATCTCTCGCTCTCACACCAAAAACAATGCGATCTCGAATCATGCTGTCATGCTGATCGCCAAATTCGCAGGACCTCGCACGTGTTTTAAGCTAGGTGATGAACTGATCTATCGTCTCGCCTTCTCGTTCTTTACATTCCCAAAATCGATATCTTTCGAAGACAGTGTTCTTTCTAGGGTTGACATAATCCTGAAACTTTTTCTTTAGAAAAGCAATCTTGTCTGGATCCTCACCAGTGGCAAATTACATGGGCAACATCATGTCTGAATCAGGACTGAAGCCAGATATGGAGAAGGTGCGAGCCATAGTCCAGATGCCACCACCCCAGAACAGAGAAGAGTCGCAGAGGTTCTTGGAAATGGTGAGCTACTTTTCACAATTTATTCCAAATCAGTCGGAGATTACTGCACCCTTGCGAAGTTTGCTGAGGAAAGATGTTGCAGACGAGCACATGCAGTCACTGGAGCGCTTGAATCAGATCTTGCTAAGTCAGCCTGTTCTTAAGTTTTTTGATCCCTCAAATTCAGTCAAGTTGCAAGTGGATGCATCTAAGTCAGGTCTCGGGGCATGCATCCTCCAGGATGGGCACCCCGTGGCTTACGCATCAAGATCTCTTAACCAAGCAGAAGAGCACTATGCTCAGATAGATAAGGAACTTTACGCAGTGGTCATTGGTTGCGAGAGATTCAATCACTATGTATATGGCAGACCAGTTGATTTTGAGTCAGACCATAAACTGCTGTTATCTGTTACAAAGAAGCCATTAGCGAGTTCTTCTCCAAGGCTTCAACGCTTACTTCTGAGACTTCAGAAGTACGAAGTCAACATCACTAATGTTCCTGGCAAGTACATGTATGTAGCTGACACACTTTCAAGAGCATTTTTGAATGAAAAACCTACAGATGTTGATTTGAACGACGATATGGAGGTTATGGTCCACAGCCTCGTAACAAACCTTCCCATGACCTCAGAGAACCTTGCACAAATGAAGTCTGCAACAGCAAACGATGAAGGCCTTCAAATATTGAGCAAGGTTATTAAGAATGATTAGCCTTTGCATAGAAGTCAATTGCCTGCATCAGTAGCCCACTACTGGCGTCTGCGTGGTGAGATTCATGAAGCTGAAGGTCTGTTGTTCCTTGGTCAGAGGCTCATAGTCCCACAAGAGATGACACAAGATGTCTTGACCTGTATTCACGAGAGTCACCTAGGCATTGATAAATGCCATTCAAGAGCCAGAGCTGCAATCAATTGGCCAGGAATGTCTACTGAAATTGAGAAAATGGTTTCTAAATGCTCAGTGTGTCTTAAGTATCAAAGAGAGAACCAGAAAGAGCCCCTCATTCCTCATGAAGCTCCTCAGAGGCCCTTCAGCAAAAACTTGGTGCAGACATCGTTCGACTGAACTCTAGCTCCTATTTAGTTGTGGTTGATTACTACTCTAAGTTCCCAGAACTTTGCCTTATGAAGGAAAAGATAGCTCTGTTAATACTAGCATGAAGTCTATTTATGCCCGCCATCATTCCGGATGAAGTTGTTGCGGACAATATCCCCCTTTCAAGCAAGGCCCTAGGCAAATTTCCAAGTGAGTGGGGATTCGAAATCTCTACCTCGAGTCCAAGATACCCCCAGTGAAACGGGATGAGTGAAAGAGCAATTCAAACCATCAAGAACTTAATTAGAAAGGCATGTGAAGATGGAAAACACCCCTACATTGCTCTCCTGGAATACAAAAACACCCCTATCTCTGGACTTATGGAGTCGTCTCAGCTGTTAAGTGGCAGTCCCGCTAAAAGTAGTCTACTCGACTTCGGGACCAAAAATAATTTTCCTTCATTTTTTGTCAGTGGAAAGGGTCTGGCACATATATATAAAAAAACAATTAATTATTTTCCAATTCCTAATTTTTGCTTAACTACGAGCCAAAATTGAATTTTGGCCGAACTGAGGTGCCGACCGTGATCAGAAAGGTAAAATTCAGCGATTTTGTAAAGCGTGCTACGTCCCCTAAAATCCAGCTCACAGAACTTCGTTTGTATACGAATCCTAAGGCATATTTATTGCTTTGACTAACGAAATATGGAAACTTTTCGGAAAATTCAAAGCTTTCCAGCGAGGCTGGAAGACACCCTACTCTGAGGCCTTTGTTCACATACTAAAATTTAGCCAAATTTGAGGGAGAAAATCTCAAAAGTTGGGTCTAAATGAAGACTAAAAAGCACATCGAAGTAAATTTCTTACCTTAATAAACGGTTCTATAAGTTCAAAACGGTGGGTATCTCCTTGGATTACACTCGACAACAAATTAAAATCTGCCACAGTCGGTGTATTTACATTATAGCTCGTGTCAAAAGCTCATTTGCACTAACCTTGCACCCGGTGGAAATACCTTCTGAGCAGTGGCAAATAGCTTCCTTTAATACTTGAATACACTGTTGATCCAGTTTTAAGGTGAAGGTAGCGTTAAAGTTGGTTAATTCTCAAGAATTGCGAGACTCCAAAAGTAAATAATGGCGTTCTGCACAAATTAACCGTAGCCGTCACCCTGATAAGTTCCATGAATAAATTCTGCCGCAGACGTAGCAATAGAAGAAGACGAAAGTTACAAGATTCCATTTACCGTTTAATGGCAACTGGATCTTTTACTATTGCCAAGACTGCTGGGAGCTTGAGGGCTATGTGCCGGAATTTTAAAAACAGCAACAACAACGAACACTTACCGGTTGATAGCTGGGCAGTGCATTCGTCAAAGGAACTTAAATGAACGCGACACTCTTGAATGGAACTATGTTTTGCGATAAATGGGCTTTACCTCTGTTGTATTCCGGTATCAGCGCTTGCACAGTGCCGAAAATGAACTTCGGGATTCGTTTATACAACTAAAGCTGCACCAGTCTTCGTCACAACGTCACACAAGTTGTAACGTGACCAATTTGGAGTGACAATGGCGGACGGTCAAGACTTTTCTGGTTCCGATGACGGAGTCGTTTGGGAGCCAGACACCGAGTTATATCCGCTTGAACTTGATGGTTCTGATTGGCAATACCTTCAGCTGAACGGAGAGCGGTTAATATGGACAAGCGACTTAGAATCCTTGAAGAATTTTGTTGAAAATTGTCTGCAGCAGCAAGGAAAGTGATCGTCGCTCGGTGGAAATAATAAGCAATTCAAAAGTTGCAACAATAAGCTTGTCATAACCTGGTACTTCAAGAAGCAACTTACTCTTGTTTTCCAAGGACAAGATGGTCCTGTTTTGAAAGAAAAATTGTTCAAACTGGTTCAAGACAAACCGGAGACTATAACTGACTCACCGAATCGACCCACAAGTCATAATGAAAACCAACAACAACAACAACAACAGACAACGGATGATGGAGCGGACTCTGGATCAGAGAATTCTTTATTTTCTGAACTGAAAGACATAAAATACATTCCTATGGTATTAAAGAAGCAGGTCGATGCTAATACAAGCTCTTTATCGAGATATCCACAAAACCAAGAAAATATTAGCAACGCAGAGCTTATGAAACAGAAAGGGGTGTGTGAAAAGCTATAGGCCACATTATCTAACAAAGATAAGGAAATTAATGAACTGAAAATGAAAATTGTGTCTCTTGAGACCCGTGCATCGTCCGTGGAACAGGAAAACGGCTCCCTGAAATTAGCACTAAAGCTGATTATGCAGGAAAAGAGCATAGGAGAACGTCAACAACAAACGAATCAGAGTTACGAGGTAACTGCCGCTCAAGGAAATTCAAAGAGTGATAATGCCCAGTCTAATGAGAGCTCTAATCAAAACGAATGACAAACCGTTGGCGCGAACAAGAGAAAGAAAAAAAAAAACCACGGAAAAAGACCAATGAAGCACAGTCCAACGCCAATGATGACACGGAAAATTCCATGCCAGCAAACGAAAGTACTACCTTGTTGATTGGAGACTCTATGATAAAGAATATCCAAGGTACACATTTAGGAAAAGCCGTTGGTCATCGGGTGGTTGTTAAATCGTTCTCCGGTGCCACCACCAAAGCCATGAAGTATTACCTTAAACCTAATGTGGAGCTTTCAGCGGACCAAGTGATTCTGCATGTGGCCACTAATGATCTCAAACATAAAGAACCACAAAAAGTTGCCGGCTCGGTTGTAGATCTCGCCAGACAAATTGAAAACTCATCCGATACCACAGTAACTATATCTGAGCTCGTGTCAAGAAGAGACGGCTTCAATGAAGCCGTAAAAACAGTTAATAAACATCTGAAGTTCTACTGCCGACAGAATGGATGGAAATTTATCCAACATCAAAACATCTCCGAAAAGGAACTAAACAAGGGCGGACTACATCTTAATTTCAAAGGTAATCAACAATTTTTTTAAGAACTTTCAGATGAGTTTAGGTTGAAATGACGCGCTATCCACCAATGCCGTGCCTTTTCAATGTACAAAACGCAATACTGAGGAATCTCATGAGCCTACCTCAGTGTTGCCATCCCAACGTGGTCTTAAATTAGCCTCTTTAAATAGCAATAAATTAATCACACACATAGATGAGCTTAGAGTTCTTCTAGCGCATAACGCAATAGATATTTCATCGATTAATGAATCTAAGCTCAATGAAACTATTAGCGACGATGAGGTCAACATCCTTGGCTATGATACATGTATAATTCGACGTGATAGAATTACAAACGGTGGAGGAGGAGTATGCTTCTATGTGAAAAATTCAATAAATTTTACTGTACGAAATGACTTAAACATGGACACTCTTGAAAATCTATGTCTGGAAATTCAAAAACCTAGATCTAAACCGTTTGTTGTTTCCATGTGGTATAGACCACCCGATTCTTCTATTGGTATTTTTTCACCTTTCGAAACTTTAATTGGGAAACTCGATTCCGAAAATATTGAATATTTTCTAATGGGAGACCTAACTGCGATATGGTTGCTACTCGATATGACAATAATACACGCAAATTAATGAGTATCGTCACTGATATATATGGTCTACAGCAACTTATCACTGAACCAACCAGAAAACCCCCGACGTCTGCAACTTTAATTGATGTAATCTATACTAATTGTCCAGATAAAGTTGTGTGCTCGGGGGTTCGTCATATCAGTATTAGCGACCATAGCATAGTTTTTGCTTATCGAATATTATCTTTGAATGGAACGTCTGGTGGGCACAATGCCATAACCTATAGAAACTTTCGAAAATTCAATCGAATAAATTTTCGGAACGATATTGCGTCTCAATATTGGGATCAGATTTACAATTCAACTGATCCCAATGAAATGTGGTTACAATGGAAATGCTCGTTTCTATCTGTTGTTAACAAGCATGCTCACTTGAGAACAATGCGTGTTCGCACGCGTAGTTCCCCATGGATTACATCTGAGCTTAAGAAACGTATGCATGATCGGGATATTCTAAAAATTAAAGCAAGTAAATCTAAAGATTCAAATGACTGGTCACTTTTTAAAAGACAACGCAATATAGTAAATAGCGAAATCAGATTGGCCAAGCAAGCCTAATATCAAAATAGTTTTAACGAGTATATGGGCGATTCTAGAAAGACCTGGCAGACTATCAACGAACTTACTTCGCGAAAATCTGGCAAAAAATCGGTAACATCTCTGAAAGTAAATGGGGCGTCAATAACAAATCCAACTGCGCTG